TCTAGTAAGATCGGCGGCTCACATTTGGCCGCCAGGTCCTTCTGGGAATCATTTCCTCTCATGCATTACATTCCTCTGGGGCTTGGATTTGCTCTAGAAGGGCCAAAGCTGGTTGTCACCACGCACAAAAACCAAGGCAGCGCTACAGGACAGATGATCATGAATTAACCTTGTTTACTCCCTTCATGTCCATTCCCCCAAGCCTAGGTCACTGGCTGGCCAACCTCACTGTGCCCCCCTCTTCTGACAGGTCACTTACTCAACAAATATGGACTCTGGTTGTCCTTGGCAAGCCATTTCGCAGACATTCCCCTTCTCCTCCCAGACCATTCCGTCCCTTCGCTGCTTCCAGGTCTGGTGATGGCTCAGATAAGTCAGTATCATTTACGCAAGACTTCCACGAGAGTTCAGCTAAACACGACTCCTTCGCGTCTCACTTGTTCTGTACAGACCAGTGACCTCAGACCTGACAGCCCTGCGGTGCTATGTATTCACATTCATTAGAGGCAGGGCAGGCACCGCTACCTATACATAAGGATGCCCCACACTTCCTATTATGAGACCGTGTTTGCAGTTGATTATAACTTAACCAGCCTTTAACCATTTGGTCTGTAATCTTCCAGGCTGGGTGTCTGCCTCAAGACGAATTTTTTTTTGGAAAGTTTCAGCTTAAACAGCTCAGCCGCATCCAAGAACAGACTAGGGAAAAATACATTGTTTTGCCCATGTTAAAAATATTCTTGCAACTGTTTTGTTGAGAAGCTCTAGTGTCCCCATGCTTGGAGCAGGGACTTGAAATTTGGCAGAGGTCACCCTAGTGTCACAGATGTGCCTTTTGCTGGTCCCATTAAAGCCATCCAAATTTGGCCAAGTTACAAACCTCTGAAAGACTGTGTATTATATCATATAAACGCAAGGGGACTGAATGACAGCTGCACAGGCAACCTTAATTCTGGCATTTCCTAACTTTTGAGTTCTTGACTTTGCAACTTTAATGTTTTTTTATGGAGGTTTTTTTTAATGCAATACTGAAACTAAAATGTATTAAATGTCTCCCTCTCCCGCTTCTAGGAAATGCATCTCTATAGTAACGTTCAGCAGAGGAACTCCAAGCTCTCCATAAACATTTTTCACATCTCAACCTGTAGGGTACAGAAGTGTCATTCCCTCCCTGGTTGCCTGGAAAACAGGGAACAAGGGCCACACAGGTGGAATAACTTGCCCAGGGTCCATCAGGGAAAAACCAAGCAAACGGGAGTCCAGACTCATACTCCCAAAGTATTAGACAACCCTGTTCTCTGCAAACTGCCTTTGTTACTTTCTCTTGGATATGTTCTGTCATGCAGAGCAGCAGCAAGTATCTGCCCAGGTGGGAATTTTCAAGGGTGCGGCCTCATAAAGATCATTGTGGTGCTAATGTTGAGAGTCATTCAGATTTTTTATTGTAGACGGGGTGTAAAAGAGATATAGATATACGAACAAGTGAGCCATCGGCTCCTGCACCGTACCGCCAACAGGTTATTTTAGAGAAAGGCAAATGAGACAATGCTGGGCATGGTGGGGGGACAAAGCGTGAGACTGGATCACTCCCTTTCAGCATGTACAACTAAAAATATTACTGTGTGCAAGACTGTTCAGGCCCTTTTCATACCATGCAATGGCTTTTTCTCTCCAGCTCCTGGGTAGCAAATTCCCAAAGCCTGTTCTATGCTGGGTGGAGCAGTGTTTGTTTTCATTGGTTTGCAGATTGTTGGCCACTAGCTATTAATTATCACTGGTATCGCAGTGGTGCCTGGAGACCTCAACCTGGGAGTGGGGCCCCATTGTGATGGGTGCTGGACATGCTCAGAAACCCAAAGAGGTTACATCTAAGTAGCTTGGAGCGAGTGAGGAGTCTTGAGAGAGCCCTTGCTCGCTTGCCACAGGACAGCGTCAAAGAGATGACTGAGCCATGCACTCCGTACCCACATGGCTCTGATTCTTCCCTTTGCTTCCAACGACAATCCAGCACACAGCTGCTTCCCAGCATGGCGCCAGAGAGGTCTGGTTGTTTCAATCATTAATCAGAGTGCCAAAAGCATGACAGGCAAGGAGACCCCAAAGGCCTTATGAGGTAAGCAGACTGACGAAGATGGGGGAGGCATGTAACATAAAAGCCAAGTGATGGGGTGGGGTGGAGGGGCATTGGCAGGCAGGAGCTTACCAGGGTCATCCTTCTGGTGCACCGTCTGCTGCGGAATGTACGTGGGGCCTGACCCCTCAGTTTCCGGGGCCTCGCTGGACATCGCCTCCAGCAACTTCTCCTGCTTCTGAATGAAGGACTCCATCCCGGCCAGGGACAAGGCGTCAGAGACCTGAGGAAACAGCCATGTGTCAGGGCCACAGCACTGGGAAGCAGGTGGCTATAACTGGCAACCCATCCCATCCAACTACTCTGCATCATACGAACAGCTAACCACTGCCCTGAACCATAGCCTCTCCCGGCTTCCGCCCTGCGTAGCCCTGCTGAATCCAGTGGCTCCCATCAGGGCACACTGGCTTGTCCATTAGCACCGCAAGCATAAAAATTAGATCACAGGGAGTCACTGTTGCTGCCATTCATTTTCTATTTCAACCTGCAACACCAGTTCCTGCTTCTGGGCTCCAGAACCATGCCCCAGCTGTGCCAATGCATCTCATTCTTGTCTTGCAACACCCTTTGTTATTCCAGCCCTAGATGCCCAACTCACCTGCCTTCATCTCCAACAACCCTTCTACCCCAACCAGCTCTGCCCATTTATTATTTGGACTGCGGTAGTGCCCAGTGACCAGGGCCCTGTGTACTAGGCGCTGCACAAAGATACAACAAAGAGATGGTTCCTGCCACCAAGGCCTTTCCTCACCTGCAGCCCCCCTTTACTACTGCAGCCCTGGTCTCCCCAATAGGTCTGTGAATGCTCTTCCTGCTTGGCTGGTAAGAATCCTGCTAGGCACTGGGCCCCTCTTGAACTAACCATGCAACTAGCTTCATGTTGGCTCAGACTATCAAACTAGTTGCACTGGTGACTGTCTCCAGCAGCAGCAAGCAGTGAATACGCTACATGGGGTCCCCACTGCACCACATCCCTTGTACACCTAGATTTTTCCAGTTCGGCCATCAAACAGTCTCCCAAAGACCCATGGTCCTGGCCACCTGACCAGCATCCTCGGCAGGATGCGCACTCACAGTGCTGCCCTCCCTCAGGCCATACAGGATCCTCTCATGTGCTTCGGCCACGCTCAGCACGGGAGCAATTTTACTGGACGGGAACCTCAGCCTGGTCCTGGGGAAGAGAGACAGAGCGGAGTTTAATGCCTTGTCCTTAATCTGATGTGAGGAGTTGCTAAAGCGGCAGCTAAGAACACAGAAAGCCACCCTGCTGTGAAAGGAAACCAGCTCTGATCTATCCTTTAACCAGGGCCAGATAAAGGGGCAGGCGACTGCCTGGGGTGCCAAGCTTGGGAGGCACTGGGCTTGGGGTGTTGTTTTTGTTGTTAGTGACAAAAGGGAAAGTAGAACATTTGAAGTGACATGTTTCAAGCATTCCGTATGCAGATTCATTTTTCACTAGCCTCCTAGAACATTCTGGACCTTTGTAGGATCTCGTGGAACCTTCCAGGCTTTCTGAGAACTGTATTTTCCTCGAACCTTCTAGAATGTTGTCAGCCAGGCCCTCGCTGGTTAGGACGTCGCAAGTCAGTCAGTGAGGTATAAGAACAGAATGAAGTGAAGTAAGAGCCCAGCTGCGATATTGTGAACCTTGTTCACATGGCTGACAACATTCTGGGAAATGTCGTTCTCAGAAAGTCTGGAAGGTTCCACGAGATTCTACCAAGGTCCAGAACATTCTAGGAGGTTAGTGAAAAATGAATGAATTACAAATGCAATAAAAAAATAAGGTAACAAATGGGAGAGGGGGGGTGCCAAAGATGCTCCTCGCCTGGGGCGCCATTTGGTCTAGGGCCGGCCTTGCCTGTAACCCCCAGTGGCCCTAGGCAAACCACTCGGTAGGTATAATTTCCAAAGGTCCTAGGTAATTTTTGAATGTAAAGCAGCATCGGATACATACCGTGAATGGCTCTGTACGTGCCATGATAAGCCCTGTCAAAGAAGCGCTTGTATCATGCTATAAAAGGGGGGGTCCTGCAAAGGGAGTCTCCATAAGGGCTTACAGACCACGTGGGTACCCAGAATACACACTCCAGGTGTCTGCAACACAGTCATGGTCTAGTGGTTAGCAGCAGCAGCCAGGGCTCCTGGGTTCTATTCCCAGCAATTCCATTGACCTACATGCAACATTGGGCAACTCACTTCGCTTCTCTGTGCCTCTGTTTCCCCATGCCAAGGGTTTGGGCTGGGGGTGCCTTAGATATTGATGGAGGAGCTCAGCTTCTGAGGCTGGAATTTCTGACCCAGAACAGGGATATTTCAGGGTGAGCACAGCATGCAGGAGTCAGTGATAGCCATGGGCCCTGCAAGCACCATGCTGCCTCGCCCACCTCCTGAGGAGACTGCAGCCCTGGCTGGTGCTTTGGGCCCAGGGAAGCACTGACAGGATGTTGCACAACAGTGACAGTGCAGCTCTGGCTACCATATATATATACATACACACACACACATGATCTAGGGTTGACTTAAGCTTGCCTTTACATGGGGAGCATGGACTAGATAACCTGTTAAGGTCCATTGCAGCCTTATATTACTGTGGTTGTGGTTCTAGATACATAGAATATCAGGGTGGGAAGGAACCTCAGGAGGTCATCTAGCCCTATCCGCTGCTCAAAGCAGGACCAATCCCCAGACAGATTTTTGCCCCAGATCCCTAAATTACCCCCTCAATGATTGAACTCACAACCCTGGGTTTAGCAGACCAATGCTCAAACCACTGAGCTATCCTTCCCCACCATAGAGATGTATACGCCCACTTCTTATACACTGGTTACCATTTTTTCTAAATTCAGATTTAAAATAATAATAAAAAGAACTCAACATGCCAATTCAAAGCTCTGGGTGCCCTAATCAACCACCATGACTTGGATAACGGAGTGGAGATGATGCTTATAAAATGTGCGGATGACACCAAGCTGGGAGGGATTACAAGCATTTTGGAGGGCAGGATTAGAATTCAAAGTGACCTTGACAAATTGGAGAATTTCTCTGAATCCAACAAGATGAAATTCAATAAAGACTAGTGCAAAGTTTTACACTTAGGAAGGATGAAAAATCAAATGTAAAACTACAAAATGAGGCTATCAGGCTAGGCAATAGTAGTGCTGAAAAGGAATTAGGGGTTATGGTGGATCATGAACTGAATATAAGCCAACAAAGTGATGCAGTTGCCAAAAAAAAAAGAACAATATAATTTTGGGGTGTGTTGTATGTAAGACACTGGAGGTAATTGTCCCTTTCTACTTGGCACTCGTGAGGCTCCAGCAGGAGTACTGTGTCAACTTGTGGGCACCACAATTTAGGAAAGATGTGGACAAATTGGAAAGAGTCCAGAGAAGAGCAACACGAATGATAAAAGGTTTAGAAAACCTGGCCTATGAGGAAAGTTAAAAGAACTGAGCATGCTTTAGTCTTGAGGAAAGAAGACTGAGAGGGGACCCGATAACAGGCTTCCAATGTGTTAAGGGCTGTTATAAAGAGGATGGTGATCAATTGTTCTCTGAAGGCAAGACAAGAAGAATGGACTTAATCTGCAGCAAGGGAGATTTAGGTTAGATATTAGGAAAAACTGTCTAACAATAAGGGTAGTTAAGCTCTGGAATAGGCTTCCAAGGGAGGTTGTTGGTCTAGGGTTACTAGGGGCTGGACTTGATGACTTCTTGAGGTCCCTTCCAGCCCCAGATTTCTATGATTAACAATACAATAAGTAGAATGGAATTCCCGCCGTATATATCCATGTGCATAGCTCTTCTCTTATCCACACACACACACACACACACACACACACACACAGGCCCTCCTATGCCGGTCAATATTTCTTTTTTAAATAGAGATTTCTGTTCAGTGAGCGGTAGTCACTTATACACAAGCATATACATTAACATAACACATGTTCATAAAACCTTTTGCTATCAAACGCCCTAAGTAGGATTGTGTAACCCAACTATTAAATGTGCAGACACAGAGAGGTCTGAAGGATCTGGAAGGGCTGTTTGCTTTTTGGATCAATTAAAAAGTCTGTTTATAGCTAAGGAATGTTCTTTCCAGCCAAGATTGCCCCAAATCTGACTAAAAAAGAAAGAAAAAAAAACTGTTCAGAGCAGCTTTTTGAAGCAAAACATCCCCTTTCAGGAAAACACATATGTATACACATACATGCCATCCAACCAAGTTGACCAGCGGCTTCTGTTGACTTTAGCAACAGCAGATAGTAAACACTTACGTAGCAAAGTACATGCAGTATCCTCGGCTTATGCCACAGGATAAACACTCCAGCATTCACTGGCCATTCCACTGGCCACCGCAAAGAGCTTGTGGAACTTTTGGTAAGGGGAGTGGGGGTTAACCCCCAAGTCTGGACCAAATCAAAACTCAGGTATTGAAATTACATTCTTCCTCCCGCAAACTCCCTTGCAGTTTCAGCTGGATTTGGGATTGTGTCCTAAAGTATTGTGGATGGTTGCCACTATTGCTGTTTAAACATCAGCTGCGCTTCACCCCAGAGGAAGCCGCATTTCACTGGTACAGCTTGTGCATTGGTTTAAAGATTATAATGCAATCCTTCAATAACATAAGCATGTCCTCCAATGCACTGCACCTCCAACAGCACAAAATACAATGTTTCAGTGCGGATCCCATGGGAAGAGTGCCACCTATCATCAGCCAGCACCAATTCCTGGAATATCTGAGTGTTCCCCTTGGGGTCTCCTCTTCACATACTGACCCAAGTTGACCCTGCTTGATTTGTAAAATGTAATGGAGTCACAGCACAAGGTAGGACGGCTGCATATTACTCACCATTTCAAAGCACCCAACATCAAGCCTGGTATTTGGTGCTGCCTTGAAGCACTAATTATCCTATGTTTAGTCCACTGATACTGTCAACATGCTACGCATAACCTGAAAAAAAGAGTCCTTACTTATTAGCCTTCTTCCCATCCGTCTGGGATTTCCCATCCACCTCTGCCTCGCTGAGCTCTTCCGTTGGGCTCTGAGGTTCCGACCTGGGAAACGCCGTCTTCAAAGTGTCCACAATGGCATTGAGCACAATCTGCCAGGGGTGGGAAAAGCAAGGTGGTTAGCTCCTCGTGAAAGAGGAAGATACCATGTTCCAGAAAGAGGTGTCCTCTGGCTTCCAACTCAGCCGGTAACTGCCTATCGACCGCTACTAAGGAGGAAGAAGAATGTGGCACGGCCAGAACAACCTTCACTTTGGGATTAAAAGAGCTCAATGCTGCACCAAAAAATGTCATCCATGCTCCTTTAGGGTAAGGTCCTGCTATCAGCAGAGTCAATGGGAGTTATTGGGGAAGCCAGTGGGACAAGGCATGGGCCCATAATGCCACTTAACAGATTTTTTTTAATATGGAGATATACCTATCTCATAGAACTAGAAAGGACCTTGAAAGGTCATCTGAGTCCAGTCCCCTGCCTTCACAACAGGACCAAGTACCATCCATGACAGATTTTCTTTTTTTTTTGGGCCCCAGATCCCTAAATGGCCCCCTCAAGGATTGAACTCACAACCCTAGGTTTAGCAGGTCAATGCTCAAATCACTGAGCTATCCCTAGCTATTAGGGGCAAAGGGGTAGCCAAGATGCCCAGAGAAACGGACAAGAACTGATGGGCAGCTCAAACCTCCACTTAGCTTCAGTCTCTCCTTCCCGTCTCTGCTCCCATGGCTGACAGGCGCTCCCCTTTAGACCAGGCCTACACTGCAATTGTGGGCAGGTGATCACAGCTTGTGGAGACAGACTCAACGCTAGGGTTGATCTAGCTAGCTGGAATAACAATAGCAGTGAAGCCGTGGCAAGTACATACCCAGGTGCTGGGTGGGCTTGTACAGTCCGTGCTGCTGCTAGCAATCATTATTCGAGCTAGCTAAATCAAAGTTAGCTCAGGGATGCCTACATGCACTGCAGTCACGCCTCTGACCGCAGGGTAGACATAACCTGAGAGTCACAGGGTCTCTCCAGGCAACATTTTAGATGGAGGCCTGTTAAACCGTCTGAACTGCACATATGCTCGTAAAGGACACTTCTTAAAGTGCCCCTACTGGAGCTGCCGGGGGTTCAGAGGAGTGGCAGGCGCTGAAAGTGATCCATCTGTAGATAGAGCCCTCGCTTGGGGTGTTCAGGGCATGGGAGCAGCTACTGCTCTGGCAAGATTCCATCTGGGAGAGGCACGTGCTAGGATTTTAATGCAACAGCAAAAGGAAGAGAGACTGATTTCACTTTGATTTTGTTTATGGGCACCAGGTGCACCACGAGAGGAAGTGTTGGCCAGCATGTCAAGTGTGTTTAAATTAGATTGCAATATCTTCAATGCAGGGACGCTGTCTGAACCATTTTCCCAAGGGCAGGACAGCCTGGATTGTGTGAACATCACAGGGGACAGAGTAAATTTGGAAAATTGAGACTTTGGATAAATCAAGGGAACTTTCAGTGTGACTGTTGCAGAGGGAGGAGGGGCAGGACCCTGTTTGGGGGGGGATGGCTGTTGCGCTGGGCTGTGTATATTTCAGCACTCTGGAAACTGGAAGAACGAAGAAGGGAAAGCTATAAAAAGCATCACTCTCATTCATTCAGAGCCAAATACACTGAGCATCCAGGAATTCAGCTAAGCCTTAACCCAAGTGGTTTTAACAAGCAGTCGTGCACCCAGGTGCCCAAGCAGAAACCGATCTGTAAAGGACAGGTTTGAAAATTTTGTATTGCTCTCATTAAATAAATAAATACATAAATAAATAACTGCCCATTAACAATCAGGGATTGGCCAGCTGATGTAAATACAGTAACCCATGAGTACCAATCCCCAATTCTAACTACTAGACTATGCATCTTTATCTAATTATTAAAATATCTATGCAGCAAGGTTTCCTAGGAAAAACACAATGTGTAGGTTGTAGGTATCTTACATCCCTCCTATAACCTGAGATCAGGTAACCCATGTTACCACTCAGGAGATTTGTTCAGAGAGCTCACAATCCAGGAGATCTGGGGAAGAGTACCCAAAGGTGCACCAGGCACATAAGAGTTAGTATCTTTCCGAATCACCAACACTTGAGCTCATCAACTGAGCTGGGCACTTGCAAGATGGGGTGGGAAAAGTGATCATTGAAATGAATGAACCATCCCTCTGTCTCCTCTTCTTTCCCCTTCTGTTACCTACAACGTCCTATGCTTTTGATGGGAAGGGTAGCAATTTGGGTCACAGACGCCATTTGCACAAAGCAAGCAAGGGTGGTCTTATGGTTAAAGCAGGGGACTGTGACTCCAGTGACCCAGACTCCATAGGCAAGTCATTCGATATTTCTGTGCCTTGGTTTCCCCCACTGTGACAGGGGGATTAAAATACTTCATTTCTCCACTTCTGCGGCCATGCAGATTGCAAGCTCTCTGGGGCAGGGACTGTCTCTAACCAGGGGTATGTACAGCACCTAGCACAGCGGGGTCCCAGAGCTCAGCTGGGGCCTCTAGATGCTAATAAATAACAACAGGCAGACAAAAGCCTAGGAGGAGAAAGTATTTTAATGCGTTAGGATGAGAGCGTTCACACAAATGGAGCTCAGCAGATGGCAGCTACATAGGGGCATGAAGGTACCTTGTCTATTCTGGAGACCACGAAGGGTTTCTTGACAAACGCGATCCTGGCGTCCGTGTTCAGGGCGAGGAACTCCTGCACCTGCTCACTATTGGCAATCTCGGGAATGCTGCACAGTTGCTGCAAAGGAAAACACAGGGTTGGGTCCTCAGAGACAGATGAGTCCTGGTAAAGCCTGTTGTCCATCTCTCCTGGTGATCAGTACCAGATTGTTTTTTATGCTCTAGTCTCCAGATGTTCCAAGAGACTGCATGACCACCACTCCCCAGGGAAAATTCTCCCACACTCCAACAGGGTATTTGTTGAGCTATTCACCCTGAATTTCTTCCCTCCTCCATAAAATGCAAGAGGGCAAAGTCATGCCTTGTATGGATGATTTGGAGTCAGTAGGGGGAAAAAGCAGACCAAGGCTTCTCTTGTTGCCTCCTCCCCCTCGAAAAAAAAAAGTTAGAGGCCATTTCTGAAAGTTTGACTTGCCCAAGGTCACATACACATGTGGCAAAGCCAGGATAAAAGTCCAGGAAGTGTGTTCCCAGTCCTCTGCTCTAACTAGTCCCTCACTACTCTGCTCTGTTCAGTCACACAGATGGATCCTGCCCAAACAGATCACAGTCATAAGGAAGAGAGAGGCGGCTGAGTCTGTTTAACGATAGGGACCTGAGAGAACATCTCACCTTCAAGAACGATTCCAGGAGACTTTTTCTGGCTTCCACCTTGTCACTGTCCATGTTTCCAAACGGAAGATCAGGAAAAAGTTTCTTTGGACCTTTGACATCTTCAAAATAAAACACATGCATAAGTAAAAATAAGACGCATCAGTAATGTTAATAAAGGGTTAAATCCCGACTCACGCTGAGGAGTAACTTACTACACCCATAGGCCAATGGCAGAGTAGATTAATGCTCTGCATGAACTAGGGTGAAAGGATCTGGCCTCAAATATATACAGAGCTTTCTTCCCAAGTCTTTTAAGACACAGGCCTCTGCAATGCCAAAGGACTGGAGGTGTTGGTTAAGAGATAATAGACAACCCGAGAGAATTTATTATCTGTAATAAGTTGTTATATTACAATGTTTCAACATTATCCAAACAATGGACTTTCCAGTGGGCTGGAGATTTCAAAACCCCGACTTTTCATTCCAAAATCAGAATGAAAATAATTCTCAAAACCAGAGGCTCCTATGGTATGGAAATTCTGCTGTCTGACCAGCTCTCCACTGCTTAGTCAAGGGCCCCCCATTACGTTAGGAAAGGGACATCCTAACCTGGGCTGCAGCAAGGGCTATGTTAAGACCTTAGGAGGAATCTTGCAGCCAGCCCTGCTCTGCACTTTGATATGCACCCGTTACCAGACATGGACACTCCTCCCCGGCATCCTCTCTTCTAACTAGGTTGGCAGAGGAACGGGAATTGCTTGTAGTTGGAGTCCCCCAGCAGTTAACGCCTGCAGTGATTTGGATTAGGGAAGCCACGAGCTGCACTCGGTTGAGCCATATTTGGTGCTTGCGCTGCATGTTGGTCACCTCTACCACAGGGCTTGCTCCTGGAACCTACAGTGATGCTCCTTGAAGCACCCACCCATCAGCAATCAGGAAGGGGTGACCAGCTCCCGCCCACCACTCTGAGAGCCCCGTTCCCGTCCCGGGGGAGCTAGCCCAGTGTTGCTGGCTGACCCACACCCCTCTCTGCTGTTGTGGATCACAGTGCACAACAGGCAGGGATATCAGGAAGAGGATGGACTGGGCAGTGTTGCAGAGGCTCCTACAGCAGGGAGAATGGCTGATATGCATTGGGGGAGGTGGGGGGCAGGATCTCTCTCACTATGGCCAGAAGAGGGCACTTGGGAACTCAGATGAAGTTCAGAGAGAGGCAGGGGGAATACTGAGGTCATCCTAGCCTCCTGTTAGCCCACCGTATGCTGGCCTATGGACGCTCACCGGGCCGTCTCAATGGGGCACCCATTATATTTAGCCAAGCAGTGCCATGCAGAGGTGGCAAGGAGGGGCAGGGAGGTGGGGAAGGCAGCTAGGGCTTTTACAGGGAACCAGCTTGAGTGCTGACTTTTAACGAATTTCCGCAGCTCGGGTTTCTCCTCCAGCCTGGTCTGCAGGTTCAGGAACTCGCGATAGCGCCGGTTCACCGTGTGGTAGGCCACTTGCTGGAGGCTGTTGGCGTTCTCACTCTCCAGCGCGGTCTCATACTGCGGAGGAAGAGGGCAGGCCATTAGTCAGTCGTTAACTTGTGGAGACCACAAGACACACCTTAGGGACAAAGATCCCTCCCTGGGCCAGGAGATGAGACCCAGGAATACCCACTCTCAATCTCTCGCTCTAACCACTGGACCCACACTACCCCCCGGGGTGGATAAAAGTGGAGGATTTTTTTTTTAAGTAATTTAAACGGGATTTGATTTTTGTTATTTACAATTCAAATACATTTTTTGTTTTTAAAAATAAACCGATTTAAAATGAAATCTGAATTTAATACAAAATATGTTAAGGCCTAAACTTATTATAATCTCTTAAAACATTTGAACAAACAATAAATATGCTGAATCCATGAGCCTCTATCAAAACCTTTGAGTTAAAGGCTGCTTTTCTATAAAAAGAAAGAATTGGGGGAAAACATCTACCTTGTGAGGTGAAGCTTAATAAATATGGCACAATAGTGGTAAATAAGCAATAGATCAGGGGTCGGCAACCTTTCAGAAGTGGTGTGCCGAGTCTTCATTTATTCACTCTAATTTAAGGGTTCACGTGCCAGTAATGCATTTTAACGTTTTTAGAAGATCTCTTTCTATAAGTCTATACTATATAACTAAACTATTGTTGTATGTAAAGTAAATAAGGTTTTTAAAATGTTTAAGAAGCTTCATTTAAAATTAAATTAAAATGCAGAGCCCCCCAGACCAATGACCAGTGAGAGTGCCACTGAAAATCAGCTCGCGTGCCACCTTCGGCATGCGTGCCATAGGTTGTCTGCAATAGATCATTCACCATTTTCTTCCATACTACAAAAAAAAAAATATGTACAATTAATAAAAGTCTGAAAATATTAAGCTATACAGTTGCTTAAATAAATATAGCTAGTTATAGTGTACCTTCCTAGGTACCAAATCTCATGTGAAGGCTTTCTTTAGTTGTAAATCAACATGATTTTTATGATCATCTCAGCCAAGGAGAATACATCTTTCTTTAGAGAAGAACTGAAGTACAAATGGAAAAGTTGATTGAAATTGAGGATTTCGAATCAAGGTTTTCCACTTGGTCATTGAAATCACAGATTTAAATCAACCTGCCCTGCTATGGCCAAAGCTCCCAGCGGAGGGGGCAATTAGCTTGGCCTAAAACACCTTGCTGATCCTCTCTTCCAGAGCATTGGCCTTCCTGCAATGCCCCCCCTCCAACAAGAACAGAGGAGTGACTGTATCACCTTGACCGTGTAAAGTGTGTAGGGATGGAACCCTGTCCCGCTGTGTTCCCGGGCAGTGATGGTTCCGGTTATCCGCAGGTTCTGGATGATGACTGGGCTGTCAGGGCTACTGAGCGGCTCAAAGCTGAAGGTATGGGAGGAGTAAAGTGGGAGAGGCGGCTGGCTGGGGTCCAGGGGACTCTTCGCTGGATTCTCCAGAAAGGACGGTCGCCTCAAGAAAGGCTTCTCTGGATCATCCAGCAGGGCGGTGACAGAGGCCAAGCTTTCTTCCCTCTCCACTGCGGAGTCGATTTGTATGTCAGGGCACCGGCCCAGCGCAGAGGGGAGGACGCTCGTTTCAGAGCTAGAGGCGGTGCTCTCCTCCAGATACCCATCCTTAGCAACCACACCGTCCTCTTGGTCCAGGCCGTTCGGCCCCTCCAGCACCCCAAAGGAATCCTGGAATGTGTCAGTGAGGAATTCCTCCGTGGACAACAGCACCACGGAATCAGAGTCCTTGCCGAGGTCAGACATAGGGGACTCCAGCTCTGAGTCCTCACACAGGAAGAGGGAGCCCAGAGTATCTGGCTGGGGGTAGTGCACGGGCGTGCTCCCGGCTTTCCTACCGTCAGCATCAGCACCAGGCTCTCCGCTCGTCACGTCCTTCCCCTCTTCCGCTTCCTGGGGGTTGCACTCCAGACTGTCCACCACATCGTAACTGGGGAGCTCTGAAGGCCTTGGAGATGGTGCCACAACTTTCAGTGGCAAAGAATTCGGCACTGTGGGCTGGCAGGGGGAGGCGGCCAATGGAGGCTCATCCCCCTTTCCCCTTCTCACCCCTTTGCTGCCCATCTTGGAGAAAATCCCAATTAGCAACAGGTTGATCCAGTCAGGATCAGACATCTTCTTGATCATAGGCAGAAGAACATTGCAGGTGACCAGCTCCACCACCACGAAGCGCCCGGTCCTAGTTTCCAGGTGAGGCTTGGGCACCAGCACCTGAAGCAACAGGTCCACAATGCTCCGGGCATAGTTCACTTCCATGGCTGGGCTCTGGACAGCTGGGTGTGGGGCAGAGAGCTCACTGTATGCTCGCCAGAGCTGGTCTGCCAGCTGAGCTGGTCCTGCCGGGCTCCTTGCAGCCTCCATGCTCTCCCTTGCTTTCATATAGCTTTGCAGGTGGCAACCACAAAGCAAGAGAATCTTATGGGTCAAGGCTTGCTTGTCCACCAGTGCCATCCTCCTTTTGAGCTCTAAGGCCAGGCCTGTCATGGCCTTCCTCACCTCGTCCTCAAAGCCCTGCTCGCTGCTGACCGTCCGGTACCACGAGGACACAAAGTCCCGGATGATCTTCTGGATCATGCGGTCAATCTCCTCGTCCAGCTGCCTCTCCGCCTCGGGGCTCTGCAGGCAACTCTCCAGCAGGACGAACCGTTCCAAGTGGAGCCGGCTGCGGGTGCCGATGACGGCCTGGGACCCCAGCCATCCCCCCAACACTGCCAGCAAGCCGGAGAGGAGGCAAAGCAGCCAGACGTTAACCAGCAAGTGGACGACTAATAACCAGGCTAACAGGGCCCCCAAAACCATCAACTTCCTGTTGCCTACCAGATCGCTCAGCCCGCTGCCTAGGCTAGCGCAGGACTCCTGCGTCTTTAGCATCCTCTGGTTTTCCATCGAAAGAACCAGGGAGCTTGGTGCTGGGCTTGCAAGTCTGAAAGCCTATTTCCCCAGCCCAGGCAGATCAGCACCTTGTAAACATCACATCCAACCAGCTGGGACACAGGAGAGGCAAACGCAAACTACTCTCTGCTGACTGCCAAACCCCAGCACCCAGACAGCCCCACCGAGCCACGGATTACAAGCCAGGAGGCGCTTTGCAAAGGCACCTTTGCCTCTCTCTTTGTCACAGCCCCAGGTAAGACCAAACCAGCCAGGCCAACCAGCCCCCTTTAAAACCACTGACTCCTGGAACGACATGAGTTGCTTTAAAAACTACAGCTGGGTGAAAAACTTCCTGCTTTTCAGATCACAGGGGCAGAGCGACCCTAGCCTCTCCTCCCCCCACATCTGCACCCCAACTTTCCCTATAAACCCCCTGCCAAGCCAGTGGGCTCTCAAATCCTGCTGCCACCCACAGGGCCTTAACCGGGTGCTCGCTGGAATACGTCACGGGTTTGTCTGAGTGCTGCATTGCCAGGCATTGCTGGCGCTTGGCTCCTTTGCTCTCTCCCAGCTCCGCTTGGCATCTGTGGCTGACTCAGCAGCTGCTCCCCCTGCCTGCTGCTGGCCCTTCTCCTGCCAGGAAATGGACCTGGGGCTGGTGGCTCAGGGCTGTTGTCTGAGAGCTGCCGGATCTGCCTCTGCCAAGGAGATGCCAGCGAAAGGGGAAAGGGAAAGGCCCAAAGCAGCACAGAGAGGCGTTTCTCAGTGCCATCTAGTGAAAGGGAAGCAGCAGCACAGAAAATACTGCGGCAGTTCAAAACATGGTCTCTGCTCATGCAGCCACTAGCACATCCTGGGGACTTGAGGTGGCTTTTACTAGCAAATAATAAGAACAGGAGTACTCGTGGCACCTTAGAGACTAACAAATTTATTAGAGCATAAGCTTTCGTGGACTACAGCCCACTTCTTCGGATGCATACAGAGTGGAATAAATATTGAGGAGATATGTATACACACATACAGAGAGCATAAACATATCTCCTCAATATTTATGCTCTAATAAATTTGTTAGTCTCTAAGGTGCCACAAGTACTCCTGTTCTTTTTGCGGATACAGACTAACACGGCTGCTACTCTGAAACCTAGCAAATAATAATCAACAGTGTAACATCTGGGGCAGCCAAAGGAAAGACACGAGCCCACGTGGTGTAAAAATCCCACAAACACTGAAGTAGCTAGAGCAGTATCTGCCCTCCCAGCTAGGGTGACCAGATGTCCTGATTTTATAGGGACAGTCCCGATTTTGGGGTCTTTTTCTTATATAGGCTCCTATTACCCCCCACCCCCGTCCTGATTTTGTCTCACTTGCTGTCTGGTCACCCTACTCCCAGTCAGCGCTGGCCACAAACCTCCCAAGCACCCCTTGTTTCAATTCCCATTCCCCTACCGGATCTCTCTCAAACCAAGCCCACCTGCAACCCAGAAACCCATTCCAGTGGTTTCAAGTTACAGCCTGAAGTGCATTAGTGAATTACACCTCACCTCCCTGCTGCCTGCTGGCAGATGGGGAAACTGAGGCACAGTGAAGTGACTTCCCATAAAGAGTCGGTAATAGAACGTAGGTGTTCCCTAGCCCTCAGTCCCTTATTCTAAACATGAGATTGCTCTCTTCCTGATTTTATACCATCATGGAAGAGGCTGGGTGCTCCTGAGAACTTGCATCCTGGATCAGCAAGGCAGGAACGAGATGTTAGAAATGCAGTGTTACAAAAGTATCCGGCTACAATTACCTAACCACGTAACTATCATGGCTGACTCAGGTAATTACAGTGAAACCTGACTGACATGGAGATGAGTGAATGGGATTTCCCAATCGGACATTCCCCAGGAAAGCTCATAACTGGAAGCAGATCTGGTCTCTGTAATCTGCTTGAATCAGAGCATCAGATCCAAACACCACTGAGCTTTGGGAAATTCAGATTTGGATCCAGGTGAGGTCCAAACTTTACAGCAGGGGTCGGCAACGTTCGGCACGCGGCTTGCCAGGGTAAGCACCCTAGCGGGCCGGGCCAGTTTATTTACCTGCTGACGCGGCAGGTTCGGCCGATCGCTGCCCCCACTCGCCGCGGTTCGCCGTCCCGGGCCAATGGGGGCGGCGGGAAGCGGCGCGGGCCAAGGGATGTGCCGACCCCTGCTTTACTGTGTGATCCCGACTCTAGTATTAAACAACCAAGCTTCATTAGCAGTTATCATTTTTAGGTATCACTTGTTAAGTGCTCAAAGACTGAGAAAATAGAAAAATAGACCATCTCTACCTTACAGCCCTTGCCTCTCACTTGATCCTGTGGTTAAAGATACTGGGCTGTGACTCAGGAGATCTACCTGTCTTAGGGCCTGACTTCACATGGAGTTATTCCTGATTTACTCCATGTGTGGAAACTCTTACTCCGGAATAAGAGTGCAGTGTTCCTGTTTAGCTTAATCCTCTCCACTTATTCTGGCATAAAAGATCCACACATGGAGTTAATCAGGAACAACTTGATGTGCATTTAGGTTCTTACATAGCCTTAGGTACTTATATTGCCCCCATTCCTGTAGCACAGAAAGACTAAGGCTCAGATCCTTGAAAGTATTTAGGTGCTTAATTCCCATTTCTATTGTACCTGGTATTTAGGAGCCTAAGTAACTTTGAGGCTCTGGGCTTAGGTGACTTGCCCAAGGTCACACCGAAAGTCTGTAGCAGAGCAGGGACTGAAACCAAGATCTCCTGAGTCTAGATTAGCACTCTAACCACTACCCCATACTTCCTCTGGGGTCAGTGCCTCCCTCTCCCACAGGCTCCCTGTGGGTGTGTCTACACTGCAGCTGGGAGCAAGCCTCCCAATATGGGATGGACACACTTGTGCTAGCAGGGCTCCAGATAGGAACAGCCACACTGCTGTTAGCTGCTTTGGACTCTCAAGCCTGAGGGGTTAGGCCTTTAATAAAGCAGGTCCTAGAGCAGGGTTGTAGCTTTCCCCAGCAAGTGTAAGGAGCGCTAGACGGCAGGGGTTCTCAACCTTTTTCCTTTCTGAGCCCCCACAACATGCTATAAAAATTCCACAGCCCACCTGTGCCACAAAAGCCGTTTTTCTGCATATAAAAGCCAAGGCCAGCATTAGGGGATAGCAAGCAGGGCAATTGCCAGGGGCCCCACTCTACAGGGGGCTCTATGAAGCTAAGTTGCTCAGGCTTCGGCTTCAGCCCCAGGCAGTGGGCTTGGGCTTTCTGCCCTGGGTCCCAGCAAGTCTAATGCTGGCCCTGTTTGGTGGACCTCCTGAAACCTGCTCGTGGCCCCCAGACCCCTGGTTGAGAACCACTGCTGTACAACATGTTCCCTGCAGTACACAGAGCCCCACAGCTCTGCACCCCCTACCCACTTGGGAGAGGAACAAGGGAGTCCTAGATACAAGTTGCCGTAGCAGGGCAAAAATCTTGATTCTCCCCTGCCTTGCACAGCTGTAAGCGATGAGCCAGGCTGCACAGCAGGCCTGGCGTGTTCATCAGAGGCCAGTTAGCTCAGGCATGGCTCTAGCATGCTGCAGACAGGCACCAGCACTACAGCTGGCCAGGGGGAAGCCTGACTGGATCCCTGGTCTGCTGGGGGTTTCTGGGCACGAGGAGAATGGTGGAGCTCCACAGCTGAGAGCAGAACGCAGGGCCTCAGGACAGCAGTGTAGAGTGTGAGCGATTAGCAAAGGTGCCTTGAGTGAGCTTAGTTAGTGTGAGGGTGAAGAGGGGGTGAGAGAGGGATCCTGACCATGTCATATCCTCATTTATTCAGTGCTCAGGATGGCTTGACCTCACTAGCAGACTAAAACCCACCCCTGTGCTGGCAGCTAGGCACAGATAGGCAGCCCGGGTGGTGCATGGAGCAGCGTGAAGTGCTTATGCTGTGCCAAGCTTGCAGCAGCCTGCCCAAGTGGGTTTCCTGAGTAACCCCAAGTAGAATGTGCTACGTGATATGATGTGGAACCCTGCTTGTCTTAGCCCCCACCTGTGCTTTCTGAGGGGGGCATCAGACTGAAAGCAAAGGTCAGAAAACATGACAGATCAAAAAGGCAACTGTATCCCCCAGAGGATGGCCAAATCCCCCGTTGGGCCCTGTGGTCTCTGAGAAGACATCTCCAGGGACAGCCACCTCCCACGGAGTGGGGGAAACCATGAGGGACTTTTGCTGCTCAGGGAAATGAAAGGACTTTCCATGGGATTTTTTTTTAAATTGGTTTCTTCAGAATAAATCTCTCCTGAGGTTCCCAGATCCCCACCTCAGAAGAGCCTGCTCTTTAAATGAGCTGCTGAGACTCTCACTCAAAGCAAGAACTTCCAGCAAGGTAGATGTGTCCGACGAGATTCATGGGGAGCGGAAGGAAACAAGGAGAGGTCATTCCCTCAGTGACAAGGTAATGCTGGCTTTTAAAGGGACACTGACGGAGGTAATGCTGGCTTTTAAAGGGACACTGACGGAGGTGAGCATTCCTGCGTGGTGCTCCATGCCATGGGTCCCACACAGCTCTGTCTAGATTCTGATTAGGTCGCACGGGAGGATCAGTCTGTGCAAGGTAGTGTAACATACTGTGATCCACAGAGCTGTTGCTCCTGACTAGTGGAGTTAGCGGAGGTCGGTGCTGGGCTCAGACCCTGCTTTGGTCTGTGACTGGGGGTCAAATTTGTCCTCACCTAGAGACTTCCAGTCATGCAGCCTGTTGCACTGAGGCTTAGAAACCAGAGTAGTGAGGGAGGCTTGGGGGTCAGGCTGCAGGCCCAACTAAAAGGATTAAATCTACTAACCCCACGTTATTTGCTCTGTGTCAAGTCTTCTTCTAAATGACAGCTGAGCAACACAAGGGCTGCTGATCACATGGCAGCGTGACAGGCAAGGCCATGGCAGTATTCTCTGTGGTCCTTTGTTTTACATGAATTGCAGTAGTGACATGCAAGCATTAAATGCTCTCTCCCCTAGGAGCACTATACAAAAGAGATCTTTGTATTACTAACCTTTCTTATGCTAAGCAGCCTCCGAGAAACTAGTGTGAGTAGACCTTGCCTCAACCTGGGGGCGACTCCAATTTCTGGTTATTCACCCCCTTGGGAGCAGTCACCTTTTGAGGATTGCTGGAGCACAGTGTGTTTTGTCCATATTTCCTCCCCAGCTCACCCTAAACCATGCCCTGCAGCGGGTGGTATGTGGAAGCCATGAGGTTCCGCACCCACTGAGGAGCTGCAGCAGGGAAGATGCTCAGGTTCCTTCCCTTTGGGCCATAGAGTAGGCCAGGGGATCTGACCCACTACTGTTTGTATGCTAGACAGAGCCCTAGGGCCAAAGTCTGATCTGAACTACACCGGTGTAAAGCTGGTGTAACTCCATTGACAAACGGCGTTACTCCAGAGTTAAATGGTTGTGTGAGAGAGAGATCTGGCTTGTCGCTCTGTAACATGATCATTTTGCAAGGCTGCAAAACGATCTCTTAATATGGTTGTCAGGCCTAAAGAGCCTATCCGAACTGAATAGAAACTGACCGTGAAGCCAGAGCGGTGACTGTGAAGCAGGGGGTGACATGGGGAGGAAAACTAAACCCAGTGAGCAGCAGAATTTCAGGTTACAAGGTGTGGTTGGGGACCCCCCCTGCCCTTTACCATTAACTTTAAATATGCAAAAACCTGTATT